TTATGAAGCGGTCTTTGACGAGGCTCGCAGCGGCGTTAACGTCACTGGAGCGTCCATGATATGCGGCGCAGATGGTGCGACACTTGTCTGGGATTGTTTGTCCGTACGCTGGGCATCACGCTATTTGTGGCTCTTCGGGCATTTTCTTTCGGACATTACATTTCAGCATTGCTTTTGGGAAATGTCGGATTTTTTTAGATTTACCGCCGCAATCATTCGACAAGACGGGATGTGTAGTCGGACTAACCGGGGAGGTCTGCATGGCTGCTCTGGCTGTGATTATAACAGTGTAGTCACTTGCCTTGCTACTTGGCCGCACTGGTGTAGTGTAGATCATAGTATTAAGCTGCACGTCCGGGAAATCAGAGGTACGGGGTTCGATTCTCCGCGCTGCTCGCCCCTTTCTGCCAAGGTGACAGACAGAGGACGTCATATGGCCTTAGTACCTGGCTGTGTCGTCATGCCCCAATGGCAATGACGACACGAAAGGACGATGCCCCATGATGATACATGGATTGGATAACCTTCAGCCAAAAGCGCATGCTCTTGATCACGTTGAGAGACGTCCGTAATTACTCTCGAAAACTAAAAGGGCTATAGGGAATAGTTCGTAGGGGGACGCCGAGAGAGAGAGAGAGAGAGAGAGAGAGAGAGAGAGAGAGAGAGAGAGAGAGAGAGAGAGAGAGAGAGAGAGAGAGAGAGAGAGAGAGAGGAGAGAGAGAGAGAGAGAGAGAGAGAGAGAGAGAGAGAGAGAGAGAGAGAGAGAGAGAGAGAGAGAGAGAGAGAGAGAGAGAGAGAGAGAGAGAGAGAGAGAGAGAGAGAGAGAGAGAGAGAGAGAGAGAGAGAGAGAGAGAGAGAGAGAGAGAGAGAGAGAGAGAGAGAGAAGAGAGAGAGAGAGAGAGAAGAGAGAGAGAGGAGAGAGAGAGAGAGAGAGGAGAGAGAGAGAGAGAGAGAGAGAGAGAAGAGAGAGAGAGAGAGAGAGAGAGAGAGAGAGAGAGAGAGAGAGAGAGAGAGAGAGAGAGAGAGAGAGAGGAGAGGAGAGAGAGAGAGAGAGGAGGAGAGCAAGAGAAGGAGAAGAGAGAGAGAGAGAGAGAGAGAGAGAAGAAGAGAGATAGAGAGAGAGAGAGAGAAGAGAGAGAGAGAGAGAGAGAGAGAGAGAGAGAAGGAGAGAGAGAGAGAGAGAGAGAGAGAGAGAGAGAGGAGAGAGAAGAGAGAGAGAGAGAGAGAGAGAGAGAGAGAGAGAGAGAGAGAGAGGGAGGGAGGGAGCCTTAACGCCGGCAGTCTACGCACGAGCGCACCAGTCTCCCCACGGCGAGGCAGGTACATGCGGCTGCGTGCCGATTTCCCAGCTTCAGACGGTGGGGAGAGGCTGACTGCGAGCCCGTCGCGGCGGGCAGGGTGGCAGGTGTGCCGCCCGCTGCAGCCCAGCAACAGACGGGGGACGTGCCAAGAAGAGCGCCGCGGGCGTGATGAATAAGCGTGATGTCATCGCTGTGCACGGTGACGTTAATGGCCCCGAGGTCATTGGCAGCGGCGTATTCGTGTAGGGGTCCCCCGGGGAAGGGGGGGGGGGGGAATGTGCACCCTTGTGCAAGTATTGCACGTCACATGTTTGTTAAAAAAATAACGGCGATTCAAGCATTTAGGCGGACATGGAAAACTAAAGAGATCGGAACTATGCTGCATTGTGTTATGCCATGCAAAGAAGCGCATTTGCGGCGCGCTAAACGGTGTTTCCACGTGGGTTTTTTGCGTTGCGCCCCTTCAATGATAATTCTTTCGCACGCCCCTGATCATCAGCATGGACCGAGGAGTCATTTTTGCAGTCGCAACAGCGTAGGCGGTTGGTCAACAAAGAAATGGGTCCAAACGGTACGGGGCAGTGAAGTCTGGGAAATGCAGATTACAGGTCAGTGAGGTCAATTGACCAGTTTCTGGCTGGTAAATTCACGGGCTTACGGGTGCCGTCAGTGACTTGCCGAGGGCCCGTGTGGAATGGAACTTGACCTGATCCTAGTCAAGTAACGTGAATGCAGCTTATTGGTCAATGAGGTCATAAGGACGTAGGTTTCTAGTGTGCGAAGCCAACCAATTGGATTACCGGTCTGCGTATCATAGGTCTCTACAACGCTGAAAACGGAAACGTTCGTGAAGTTACAGTGAGCCAGCTAGAGGTGCCTCCAGCATAACTTCCAGCGCTGGTGACTGGGATGAACGTTCAATATTGATGACTTCAAAACATCCTGTTACGAAGTCACCAGTGATAGCGTCACGTGCCGTTTACCCGCGTTCCCCGTGGAAACCTCGTCGCGGCGGCTGCAGCTACGGTCGTGGGGCCCCGTCCCTGACAGTGACAAGGATCGACGCCATGTGGATTCGCTGCGGTTGGCAGCCACGTTGGCAGACGCTGGTTACCAGCAGGTTGTGGGTTGGCAGGCGCTGGTTACCAGCTGGGTTGTGAATCAGCCGACGTACGGACGGCTGTGAGCCTGCCTACTTCTTGTTTTGATTCTAGGCCTGAGAGTTTTTTAAATAGAATTTGAATAGAATACTTGAAAAGAATTTGAATGTAATATCTGAATAGAATTTGAATGGAATATTTGAATAGGATTTGAATGGAATACTTGAAAAGAATTTGAATAGAAGTTGAATAAAATATAAATATTTGAATAGAATTTGAATAAAAGTTGAATGAAATTTAAATATTTAAACAGAACATTTCAAATAGATAACAAACTTTGAAAATAAATACGAAATATTTTAAAATAATTTAAATACAATTTGGCAACCGTTGCCATGAGCACTTACTGCTTGAAATCTTTAAGCTGTTTTAAACTGCTTTGTGAAGGGTGTCGGTGTAGTGGTTGAGCGCCGCATTTGGGAAACAAGAGGCGATGAATTTGATTATCCGCGGTGCCTGCCCTTCCTGCCAGGGTGAGAAGCAGGCGACGCCATATAGCCACAGCAGCTGAGTGCGTCGTAAGGCCCAATGACATGGACGCTAACTGGCCTGCGGATTTGAATAGTGATGTCTGTGTATGTTAAGCACTGTTGAACACCTCGGTGCAGCCAGGACGACCCAATGAATCAGGTTTAGTGGCTTCATCAGGCTTAGTGACAGAGATATGTATACCTTATTCGAACTTATTAGAACATGAAAAAGCCTGTTGGAGACCCTTAAGATGATGTCGTATCTATTATGTTAGAAATTTTTCCCTGTGTGAAAGCTATTTCAGCTCTAGCAGATCTCCAAAGCCAGCTCATCGCCTGCATGCTTTCTTTATGTATATCCTACTATCGTGCCCTTTTGGTCAATTCTCCACCCTCCATTTATTCACTTCGCTATGGCTTTCGCGCCACGTCTGTCGTTCCAACTTTTTATCACGTCGTAATACGGCACCGCCGTCCGCAAACGGCGCCGAACCCGGCAAACACAGCGGACGTCTGCCGTTGCTATGTCCGGCGCCTCGGAAACAGGCACCATCACACCAAAAGTGAGAGCACAGCAGCCGTGTACGTGTTTCACCAAGGGGGCGCCGTGGGACGGCGAACTGCGCGAGCCTTTGCGCCTCTGTGCCGCGTGGGAGGCCGATCCGGGGCGAAAGAGCGCACTCGTGGGCGAAGGCGCTCGACGGACAGCGGACTGGACATGCTGAACGCGACGCTGCGCCGCGACACGCATAATGGATATTTCCGGTGACCTGGTATCCTCCGGGCAGTGCCACCGGGGAGGAGAACCCTGCGGGACGCTGCCGGCTGATGGTGTCGCAAGGTCTGATTTTGGTGGCGGCTATTTTTGGCGCCCGCGGCGCCTGTTCGGACCAGTGACAGCTTCTGCAGGTGTTGTCGCTTGATGGATGCTTCCGGTGGCCTGGTGCCCCCCGGGCAATGCCACCGGGCAGCAGAATCCCGCAGGACGCGGCCGGCTGATGGTGTCCCAATGTCTGGTTCTGGGCTCGGCTGTTGTGGTGCCATCTGCGCCTGTTCGGACCTGTGACAGCTTATGCTAACGTCATCAAACCTGATTCCAATTGTTCTTCGTTACTCCTTTTTGGTTGAATGATATCCATCGCCTAGGCACAATGGAGTGGGTCTGATCTCAAACGTTTGTGTGCAAGTGAGAGTCTTGGTCGCTTAGCGTCGAGTTCGAGCTCACATGCCTCCCTTTCCAGGCGCCTAGAACTCTATGTATCCTATTTCAAATTTCAGCTAATGTTGTTCCGTTGCACGCGAGTTTGGACCAATTGGAAATGATGTCTGTGACACTTAGTGTGCGTCGGAATCAAAGACCATGACCTCTACAATTTTCACAGTGGAAGTTTTATGATCAAAACGCAATCGTTAAGTGACAAACGTTAACTTCGTGACTAATTTGGTTAGTGACAAACGCTATCCACGCCTGACAAGGTACTGAGTGGCGGTCAGGGGCAGACTCACTTTCACTAAGTCATGTTGTTGAGCTAAATATATGATGCTGATTACGTTATCAGTAATGTTATTAATGAGTGATAACGTAGCGTTGATTGCGGCTTATCATTAATCCGGCAATCATCTAAGCTGTGTAGTCACCTATTTTTATTTCAGCCTTTTGTGAACTCAGGCCTCTTTATTCAGAATCTTTCAACTGCAGGCCAGCTTGAGGCCTCACACGCTGAACATTTATCCAAGCTCCCGGTTTCTTTCAATCGAGGAGTCTAATTCCACCTCCAAAGCGAAATGAATCGTCCACTTGAGCCGGAGACGCAAATGGCCGACAGCCTGAAATCGATTCTGAATCTGGCAGGGTTCGGCCCGACGCGCGGTCTCCAGCCTGAGATACGCCAGCCCCCCCCCCCCCCCCGCACGCACCGCATGGATATACCCCCTCCCCCTCCCCACCGCACACCGCCTCCAGCCAGCGCGGCGCGGTGACTCGCCCCAGCCGTCCAGCCTGACAGCTAACCTTGCCGTCGTTTTGGCGGCAGCGGCGCCCCTGATGGGTCGGTTTGTTTGGTCCGCAGGTGTCGATGGAGTCACTGCCTGAGAAGCCCCAGAGGCGCCGCACCCGACCAGGTCAGCGCGCCGAGCAAGGCGGCAGGGGCGGATGCAGGGCAGTGTAACGGGGCAGGGGCGGATGCAGGGCAGTGTAACGGGACAGGGGCGGATTCAGGGCAGTATGACGAGGCACGGGAGGATGTAGGGCAATGTGACGGAGATGAGGCTGATGCAGGGCAATGTGACGGGGCGGGGACGGATGCAGAGCAGAGTAACGGGGCAGGGATGGATGTAGGGCAGTGTGACGGAGATGAGGCTGATGCAGGGCAATGTGACGGGGCGGGGACGGATGCAGAGCAGAGTAACGGGGCAGGGATGGATGTAGGGCAATGTGACGGAGCTGAGGCTGATACAGGGTAATGTGACGGAGTAGGGGCGGATGCAGAGCAGAGTAACGGGGCAGGGATGGATGTAGGGCAGTGTGACGGAGCTGAGGCTGATACAGGGTAATGTGACGGAGTAGGGGCGGATGCAGAGCAGTGTAACGGGGCAGGGATGGATGTAGGGCAGTGTGACGGAGCTGAGGCTGATACAGGGTAATGTGACGGAGTAGGGGCGGATGCAGAGCGGTATGACGGGGCAGGAACATATGCAGGGCAATGCGACGCAGCAGGGGCGGAAGCAGTATAATGTGGCGGGTGGGCGCGTGAGACCGTCCCATTTTTAGTGGACTGAACTCTTCACGTCATTACTCGACATTCATGATCATTGGGTTAATGACATGGAATGAATAAATATGGGATTCATATATTATGTTGAGTAATACATTAATGAAGTTATGAGGTATATCATTAACTTTTAAATATGGAAGCATATGTAATGAATTGATATGAATAATGATAAACAGGTGGTAACATATACAACTTTCGTATCAAGTGGATAAACCATGGCTCGCCATGTCCCATGTCCACCCACATATCCACATGCCTACAGCTTACCAGTGTCCCCCGTTCCGGTTTCTGTGTAACGCTGACACCACGTCGTTATAGCGCTTAACGGAGTAGCCACAACAGCAGCATGATCTCGCTCTCAATGGTGGTCATCTCTCATAATCTCTGTGCTTTGTGCTCGTGGTCCCGTGCACGTCCCTGGTCTTCGAGCCGATGGGGTGATCTTGACACTCCTGACCTGCTGCGGCGTCGCCCCGTAGCCTGTTGTGCCACCCAACCATGGTTACGTCGCTAAAAACTCTTCCGGGGGTCTGATTAGTTCTCCACACATCCGTGTTTATGATTGGTTTTACGCATGTCACGTGGTCGGCCTCGTTCTCACTCTGCAAGGGCGCACGACAGACCCTGGGAAGCGCAGCTCCTGCCACCTCGTCCTGTAGGCACGTGGCGCCACTCATGTGCATGCTAAAACGTGTCCTATAGGCAGGTAGCGCCGCTCATGTGCGCACTAGCGTATGCCCTATAGGCACGTGGCGCCGCTCATGTGCATACTAAAACGTGTCCTATAGGCAAGTAGCGCCGCTCATGTGCGCACTAGGGCATGTCCCATAGGCATGTGGCGGTGCTCATGTGTGCATTAGGGCATATCCTATAATCATTTGGCGGCGCTCATGTGCGCACTATGGCTCGCCGATGAAAAATGTGGCGTGAAAGAGTGTCTGGAGTAGCGAAAAGGCTAATGCATAACCATGGAAAATACAGACTATGAAAATACGGCGGACGAACATAGTTACATTCTCCAGGGAGAGGTTAGTTGTTCGCCGTCTCAAGCGTCGAACACCGTGCATTGCGATAAAATGGCACAATGCGATTGCTATGCTGTGGTTGATTGGGATCGAACGTTTCGAGCGCCAGCTGAAAGACTGCATGTGAGCTCGAAATGGAACAGCATGGGCCACGCGTCGTTAACCAGATCTAAGAGGAGCAGCGATCTTCTTTCGACAGAAATGGCGCATCGTCGTCGCAGTGTGCAATTCCGATTGGCTACATTCAATATAACCCTCATTGCATTACACTGTGGCGCCTCGCCCTGCAGGGAATCCCTCGACATTGCACAGCGATTGTTCTTATGCTGCTGCTAGAAATCTCTCGCCACCAAACACGAGGTGTCTAATGCATATTTCATGATTGCGGTCCATCACGCCAGACCTGATAATGCCAGGGTACTCGGTAACGGACGGTTACCTTCACTGGAGCACAGGGGCGTGCACAAAATTTTACAGTGGGAGGGCTGGACTCAAAATTGTCACTGAAAAACGAGTTAAACGTGCCTAGCTGTCCAACATTTCACAGTGTTACAATCTGACCGCCCCCGCCAGAGCAAGACTCATATAGCAAAGCCTCCTCGGTTTCATTATTTCTGGAGTGTAATAGTCTTGCTTGCTGTGGCCAGTCCACTTGAACAGACCGGTGGTCAGACCAGACTAAACCAACTCGTATCCGTTCCGTGCGATGTGTCGTAACTGTTCGTTGTGAACTTCCCGCTCTCCTAGTTCTATACGTAAGTTACAGATGACCCGCAATTAAGCCTATCAACATGGCATAAAATATGTTTTCGTCTTTTCCATCTAGCCCAGCAATCTTTCTTGCTGGCTTGACATACATAAGACTTTTGGACAACACGTGACATAAACGGGATTAATGCTGACAACACACTATGCCTTGTTCCCCACTACCATTACAATATTCACCGTCCATAACGTACCACATAACGCACGTTGTGTCGGTGCAGTTCTTTCGCGTTATTTAAGCGCTGGTGGCAGCCCTTTAAATCCAATGCAGTCACCTTGAATCACATAGCTTGAATGGCATTTATTCCGTTTTTCTTGAATCCAGTCTTTGGTGACGGGAACATTCCACATGAGAATTGAAACTCTCCGTGGTGCATTGCGTTGTTTTGTTTTTGGTTTTCGGCTCTTACATGACACATTAATATTATACGGGCAAATTGGGCGACAAAACCCTACATAGGGCAAATACTGGGAGTATTTCCGCCCCCGCTTGTGGCTATGTCGATGTCCATCTCCATCGCCGAAACAAGACTCTCTTGCTCGACGTAATGCCGCCCGTACCGCAGCGGATCGCTTTAACAGCTGAAGCTGGGATGCGCATTTTAAACTGACGCAAGCAGGCTTCGGCCGTACGTAGATTCGTTGTCTCAGGCCGTCTTTCAAAAATGTCTCAGTGTGGGGACATTTATCCAGCTATGGTTCCCTCACGTAATCGGAAAGACACGTTATAATACGAATCAGACTCCTGCCAATTTGCATCGCTCAGTACGAGTTTCGGGACACAACTTATCGCAACGTGGTAAAAGAAACACGCCTGTTTCACTGTTTTTCCCCGCCTCATGATGTTTGAGCACAGAACACGTTTTTTCCCTTTTCCGTGCGCAATTAAAGAGAAAGACATCGCACTAGGTCGGCACGTTACTCATGGAAAAGCGGCACACTGACTCGACAAACCAATGCACACCCAAAAGCACCTTGAATTTAAGGGAGTGCGACATTGCCATCAATTGTTTTGCACCACCTGCGCCAACTTCGAGTGTATCTGCGTCTGATCAGCTGAGACGGTCTGCTCCACCTGCTTCACATTCAAGAGCTAAGATGGTGGCCATGAGACGTAGGGAGAGGGATTTCTAGGTGCGGCTGCACTTCCTACCTCCAGGCTACACGGAGAACGACGCGCATGTCATGGACACACCCAGCAAAACACTGGCAACTCGCAACGCACGATGTCCCCCACCTACTATTCCGCTTTTGTGCCACTGTACGAGGTGTCTTCCATCGCTGTCTCCTCCTCGAGATTGGTCTGCACTGACCTTCCGAAGCTCAGCTGCGAAGGTATGCCGTCTTCCATTACCCTGAGTATGCCATCATCGCGCGGCCCCACTTGGCATTCGCTGCAACGGCACTGGGTAAGGGGAGAGCTGCCATGAATAAGTGACAAATGTGCAGGTATGTATTTCCTCTGTCTCTCCCCTCTCTCCCTCTCTCTCTGCCTCTTTCTCTCCCTCTCATCTCTCTCTCCTATCTCCCGTCTCCTCTCTCTCTCTCTCCTCTCTCTCTCTCTCTCTCTCTCACTCTCCTCTCTCTCTCTCTCTCTCTCTCTCTCTCTCTCTCTCTCTTCTCTCTCTCTCTCTCTCTCTCTCTCTCTCTCTCTCTCTCTCCTCTCTCTCTCTCTCTCTCTCTCTCTCTCTTCTCTCTCTCTCTCTTCTCTCTCTCCTTCTCTCTCTCTCTCTCTCTCTCTCTCTCTCTCTTCCTCTCTCTCTCTCTCTCTCGCTCTCTCTCTCTTCCTCTCTCTCTCTCTCTCTCTCTCTCTCTCTCTCTCTCTCCTCTCCTCTCTTCTCTCTCCTCTCTCGCTCTCTCCTCTCATCTCTCTCTCTCTTCTCTCTCTTCTCCTCTCTCTCTCTCTCTCTCTCTCTCTCTCTCTCTCTCTCTCCTATCCCCTCCTCTCTCTCTCTCTCTCTCCTCTCTCTCTCTCTCTCTCTCTCTCTCTCTCTCTCTCTCTCTCTCTCTCTCTCTCGCTCTCTCTCTCCTCTCTCTCTCTCTCTCTCTCTCTCTCTCTCTCTCTCTCTCTCTCTCTCTCTCTCTCTCTCTCTCTCTCTCTCTCTCTCTCTCTCTCCTCTCGCTCCTCTCTCTCTCGCTCTCTCTCTCTCTCTCTCTCTCTCTCTCTCTCTCTCCTCTCTCTGACTATTCACTATTTACGTTCTCGCACAACACACATACATTCTCGAAAACCCAGGCAGTACACATACGCGCGCGCACGTGCACCGCGCCCTCATCACAAAATTTTATTTACCAGACTTCACTGTGCGAAGCACTTCATCTGCTGTTCGCCTGTCGATGTAAAACGCCCAACACGTTGCTGAAATGCTTCCCTGCGTCGCTAACATGACTGCAAATCATGTTAGCAAACTGCGCTCTACGAAGGCTTTAACCGACGCGTGCGTCGCTGACGTCACAAGC